CTACACTTTCTAACAAATTCTTTTATGGTACAACTCAAAATTGTACCTATACTAATGATACAACTTTAAATTGTACCTACACTTTCTAATAAATCTCTTTAAGGTACAACTCAAAATTGTACCTATACTAATGGTACAACCTTAAGTTGTACCTACACTTTCTCAAAATCCTTCAATGGTACAATCCAAACTTGTACCTATACCATGGTACAACTTTAAGTTGTACCTACACTTTCTAAAAATCCTTCTATGGTACAACCCAAACTTGTACCTATACCATGGTACAACTTTAAGTTGTACCTACACTTTCTAACAAATCCCTTTATGGTACAACTAAAAATTGTACCTATACTAATGGTACAACCTTAAGTTGTACCTACACTTTCTCAAAATTCTTTTATGGTACAACCCAAACTTGTACCTATACCATGGTACAACTTTAAGTTGTACCTACACTTTCTAACAAATCCCTCTATGGTACAACTCAAAATTGTACCTATACTAATAGTACAACTTTAAGTTGTACCTACACTTTCTAATAAATCTCTTTATGGTACAACTCAAAATTGTACCTATACTAATGGTACAACTTTTAGTTGTACCTACACTTTTTCAAAATCCTTCTATGGTACAACCCAAACTTGTACCTATACCATGATACAACTTTATGTTGTACCTACACTTTCTAACAAATCCCTTTAAGGTACAACTAAAAATTGTACCTATACTAATGGTACAATCTTAAGTTGTACCTACACTTTTTCAAAATCCTTCTATGGTACAACCCAAACTTGTACCTATAACATGGTACAATTTTAAGTTGTACCTACACTTTCTTATAAATCCTTTTATGGTACAACTCAAAATTGTATCTATACTAATGGTACAACTTTAAGTTGTACCTACACTTTCTAATAAATCTCTTTATGGTACAACTCAAAATTGTACCTATACTAATGGTACAACTTTTAGTTGTACCTACACTTTTTCAAAATCCTTCTATGGTACAACCCAAACTTGTACCTATACCATGGTACAACTTTAAGTTGTACCTACACTTTCTAAAAATCCTTCTATGGTACAACCCAAAATTGTACCTATACCATGGTACAACTTTAAGTTGTACCTACACTTTCTAACAAATCTCTTATGGTACAACTAAAAATTGTACCTATACTAATGGTACAATTTTAAGTTGTACCTACACTTTCTAATAAATCCCTTCATGGTACAACTCAAAATTGTACCTATACTAATGGTACAACTTTAAGTTGTACCTACACTTTCTAATAAATCCCTTCATGGTACAACTCAAAATTGTACCTATACTAATGGTACAACTTTAAGTTGTACCTACACTTTGTGAAACAAATTCTTCAATGGTACAGCTGAAACTTGTACCTATACGATATGGTACAACTCTAATTTGTACCTACACTTGTATACATTGATTCATTATTTACAAGATTGCCATTAATGATGTGGGACCAGTCATTTAGTGGGTTTACCTCCTCAACAGGTCACCTTTTTTATAGCATGGGTGCTATAGAGCACACTAGAAGGGCTCCAGAACTATATCAGAACTAATTTTGATTGTTTGTTTTCTCGAGTTGTTGTTTGCAAGGTGGGGAATTTGTTTGGGAGCAGTACTTGGGAACTCAGGCTGTCCGATGCAGGTGCTTTGGCATGTTGTCCTACGGCTATGGGAAGGTTAATTGGTCTCTTATGGTGCTCTTCGATCACCTTCATCTGGCAGGAGCGGTGTAGAAGAATCCATTGAGAACGTCCTATGCCTGCTGATCAAGTTGTCGGCTTATGGATACAAGATTTAAAGTTTGTTATTAATTGTTATCCTGTTTTGATGGCTGGTTGTCAAAGTTTACATTTACTTCATTAGCCAGATGGGTTGTAGGTAGGGTTGCAAGCGAGTCGAGTCGAGTTTTTTGTTTAGTTTGATCTCGGCTCGTTTATAAATTTTTCAGCTCGAACTCGAATTTTGATCATTCGGCTCGATAGAGCTCGATAAATGCTCATTAACACAGCTTGTCAAGCTGAGTAGAAGCTCGACTCAAGATGAGCTCGATTTGAAACCATTCTTTGCTGAAAAATGTGTACAAATAAGAACATTAGAAACTAAAAATGATAAAAAGAACACTAGAAACTAAAAATAACATCTAGCTTCCATACACATCCTTATTAACAAGATAATTTTCATGTTCAAAAGAGTAATTAGTCCTTCCACAAGCTCTAAACAAGCCAGCTCACGAGCTTAGCTCAACAAGCCACCGACTCAAGCTAGTTCACGAGCTTATCAAGCTGAGCATGGTCTAGCTCAAGCTTAGCTCGTTTACTAACAACTTGGCTCGCAAACCGGCTTGTTAAACAACGAGTAGAGTGTCGAACGAGTTTTTTTCGATTCGAACGCCGAATTGCTCGCGAGCGGTTTGGCTCATTTGCAGCCCTAATGGTAGGAGGTGAGTAGTGGAGCGAAGTTGTATAGTTGGGGGATGGTTGGTTTTTCACTTTTCAGGGAGTTCCTTACTTGGGGACTTCCTCTCGTTGTATTGTATCAGTGTGTAGGGGGAGCAGATCCGGTGAGTAACTTTGTGGTGAGTAACCCCATACATAACTCAATAAGAATCTGCCACATCAGCACCTCCTTCTCTCTCATGGAAAAATCATTAATTTTCTTTCTCTTAATCTTTAACGGACGATTTCTCACTCGTTTTAACTCGGAATTTAATTTTTTTTGCACAGTTAGATCAGATTAATTGTGCTCTTCAAAATGATATCCACTTTGATATTTTTTTGAACCAAAAAATTTTGTCAGTTATTACCAGTCTATACCATATGGTATAGTCAATATTATATGGTATTGACTGGTATTAAATAACAACATACCATATGGTATGAAAAATACCAGTCAATACCATATGCTGTTATTTAATACCAGTCAATACCATATGGTATTAAATAACAACATACCATATGGTATGAAAAATACCACCTCCTCATACCAGGGTGGTATAGTATGGTATGGAGTTGGTAACGAGAGGTTTGAAATTTTTCCCCCCAGAAAATGTTGAAATCCAATAGATCATGATTAAATCGTTCCTTTTGTGCAAAAATTTTCGAAAATGACTAAACAACGAAGGAGATACCATATGGTATGGAGTTGGTAACGAGAGGGATGGAAACAAATTTTCTCAAAAAATATTGAAAATGGATATCATTTTGTAGACCACAACGAACTCGTTCCATCTGTGCAAAAAAATTGAAATCCGAGTTAGAATGAAGAAGATATGATCCAATTAAGCAAACTAGGGAAAATAAATTCCTTTAATTCTCCACCCTTAGATCTGCAGTCACTTAAAAGAAGGGTCCAAATTTGGTTACTCATTGTTATTCACCCTAAGGTTACCCACCCTATCTTGAGCCGTGTGTAGGGATCGCCTTGATTCCTATTCCGTTTTTATTTGCAATAAAATGGAAAATTGATTGAACGAAGACAAAAAAAAAAAAACCCTGTGACAATTACAATTTATAACGGTTAAAAGCCCTTATAATCCATCCGGATATGATTAGGATTTAGGATATTTAACTCAACAGGAAGTCGGGAACTACTAAAATACTCTTTTAGTCTCAATAATGTTTGCTTGGTAAATACAATTTAATATCCAAACCTTTTATTTTAAACAATATAATAGCCAAATCTTTTCGAAAACAATCTAATATCCAAATCGTCAACTTTCTGTCTGTTTGACCGTTAGTTGACACTTCAAAAAAGTTCGAAGTACGACACTTCATAAATATCCAGCGATATATTCTCTAAAAAACCACCAACATATCGTAGTTCCAAACCCGAGAAGTCCATGACTCCACCATGACGGTATAGAATATCTAAATATTCAGTCATCTGCAATGCCAAAACAAGAAACAAAGTTGTATTGTGAAAATTTCCCCTAAACAAAGTTTTTTTTGAAGTGTCAACTAACGGTCAAACGAACGAAAAGTTGTCGATTTGGATATTAGATTGTTTTCGAAAAGGTTTGGCTATTATATTGTTTAAAATGAAAGTTTTGGATATTAAATAGTATTTACCCTATTGTTTTTTATCAGGTAAGTAACCTTATTGTGAGTAACAATGAGTAATCCGTCCACATCAGCATGACATCAGCATCTCTCTCCTGAAAAGTCTTTAATTTTCCCCTCCTTAATCTTTAACGGACGATTTCTCACTCGTTTTAAGTCGAAATTTAATTTTTTTCACAGTTAGATCAGATTAATTGTGCTCTTCAAAATGATATACACTTTGATATATTTTTCGAACAAAAAATATTTAACCATTTTTTACTAGTCTATACCATATGGTATGGACTTGTATTGAAATAAGAGCATGCCTATGGTTTGAAAAACGTACCATGGTGGTATGAACAAACCAAGACGGTAGGATGGTTGAATACATGATAGTAGAAGTATATTAACTGTTATTTACGACTTTTAACATTGTGTACCACAAGATACCACCCCGTACCAGGGTGGTATTGTATGGTATTGTGTGGTATTTTTCGGTCTTGTAATTTGTTCACCCAGAAATTTGTAGATCCAATAGATCATGATGAAATCGTCCCTTCTGTGCAAACGTTTTAAAAAACGAAGAAGGTACCATATGGTATGCAGTTGGTACCGAGAGGCCAGAATTTTTTTCTCTCAAAAATATTGAAAATTGATCTCATTTTGTAGAACACGATGAACTCGTTCCATTTGTGCAAAAAAAAGTTAAAATCTGAGTTAAAACGAAAAAAATATGAGCCGATTAAGAAAGCTAGAGAAAATAAAAATGACTTTTAATTCTCCACTTATAATATTTAACTACTAAAATACTCTTTTACTCTCAATAATGTTTGCTTATTGTTTTTGCATGGTTCCAGCTATACTTGATACTTGATAGGGACGCTTAGATTTAGTTTACTCATTGAGCTCAATGAATCGTTTTTATCACCCATACAAAAAAAAGGGTAAAATGTTACAAACGCCTAATTATTCCAAGTAGAAAAAGGTGAGTTAAGTGTATGATTAAGCAGGTCGGAGCAGCCGCTTCGTTCTTTCTCATTTGGTCTAAAGCCTCTTTGCGACTTGAATTAGTTGATCGGTTAAATATCATTCAGATTCATCCACTCGGAGAGACAGAGGCACGAAGGAAAGCTCCAAAATGGGAAAATTTAACACGATAGTATTATAAATCACTGCTCGGCGAACACCCAAACAAAGCACGACAGACTTACAGACGACACTGAAACAGAGTAACTTAAAACAACAACCACCCACAGCAGGCAGCAGCAGCAAACCCCTGCCATGGCTCTTCTTTATTTACAGCAGGGCCAAGCGCTAAGACACCCGACCCCAACAACAACTTTCTTAGTTTATTAAATAACCATGGGACCGAGCGAGGATTTAGTGGTGGGTTTTTGTTCATTTGCAGCCGCAGTTGTCGCAGGTGCAGTTTGATCCGCACTTGCAGCCGTTCTCAGCACCGAAGCTCATCTCCGAGCTCTCAAATCCCCTGCGGCGCAATTCAAAATAAATTCAGACCCAATTAAACATTAATTTGATTGGATGAGAGAAATAATCATAAGGTTGGGTTGATCGCAGAGGAATTGGTAATTAACTCACATGCTGACCGGGGCAACGCCGGCGATGAGGATCTGGGTGGAAGTGGTGGAGGTCTCGGCGAGATCAAGGTACATGCTGCACCCGTTGCAGCCACTGCCGCACTTGCAGGCTGAGCCGCAGCCGCACTTTCCTCCGCAGCAAGACATTCTTATTTGGGTTGGGTTGAGAGAGTTTAGAGAAGAAGAAGAAAGCAGAGAGTGTTTGTTTGATTGCTCTGTTTTGTGGGATGGTTTTTCAACGTTCAGCTTAGGGATGGGAACCCTGGCCGCCCCGCCGGGTACCCGCCCGAAACCCGACTCAACGGGGGTCTCAATACCCGGCCGCAGTGGGGAATTGGCGGATTCGGGCATACCCGAAACCCGTCAGAAGCGGGTTACGAGTGGGGATGGATCGAGAAGTATCCGCCCCGTCCCCGTCCGTCCACAAAACGACGCCGTTTTGGCACCTGGGTATAAAGGCCGAAGAAAGACCCAGAAACCCTAATCCCTCATTTCCTCTTCTTTCTGCCTGTCGACTGCCGCCGTTTCCTTTCATCTTCCTCTCTATTTTCTCTCCACCCAAACACACGAGCATTGATTTAGCTCCAAAATTTCGCCGATTCCCCACAAAATCCTCTCCATCCACTGGTTTATCGCTAGTAGGCAATCATTAATCCTCCAGTTTGGCCAATCAGAGGCTTGTTTTGCCGCCGATTTGGCTGGAAAACAACATGCAAACCCCTAAAATGTCTGTTGCAATCTTCGATTCGCAATTATTGGGAGAAATCGGCGTGACAGATAAGTTTCTTCTCCCTTTTCCTTTCGTTTTCCTATCTATTCCATCTTCTTCTGCTTTCATATATATAGTAACCCTGTCGATTGATTTCAGGGTCACTCGCAACCTCTGTTCTAAGTTCTCCGTTCATCATTACCTTCACTCTGCTCAGAGCACAGTCGAGGTAATCACTTTTAAAACTTCAATTTTTCTAGTTTATTAACTTGGTCTTTCTCATTCAATGAATGCTAACACAAAATTGTTTTTATTTTTGCCTTGTTCGAGTTCATTAGGTTCGCATCAGGGCATCAGGCATCAACTCCCCATCTGCAAATCCTACCTCTCCAGATTACAGGTTAAGCATAGCCTGACTCTAAATCCGCCCTGTTTTATGATTTGTATGTGTAGTGTAGCTTGCATGTGTCGATTGCTTGCTTGTGTGCTCTGTCCGAGTCTTGAAGATTGATTGATTTTATTTTTAATTTATGTAGATGGATGGTGCAATTGCAAATGATGCTTTGAATGTGAATGATCCTCCTGTGCCTAATTCTCTAAATCCTGATGTTAATGGTAATGTTAACGGTAATGGTAATGGTACTGTTAATGGTAATGGTAATGGTACTGTTAATTTGGTTGATGGGATTGAAACTGGTGAAGTCATTCTTGAGGAAGATAAGAAGTTGACTTCTGATGTCTGGCCTCATTTTGTTAGAGTGAAGTTTAATGGTGTTATTAAGGCTAAGTGTCGTTACTGTAAAAAACGACTTGGTGGTGATACTAGTAATGGAACCTCTCATCTGAGGCACCATTACAAAACTTGTACCCAAAGAAAGATACATGATGGTAGACAGAGAGTTCTGGGTCCTGATTATAAACCAACTGGAAAACCACTGCTATCTGCTTCTCAGTTCAGTTCTGATGTGTCTAGGAAGGAATTGTGCTCAATGATTATGGTCCATGAATATCCTCTGAGTATTGTTGAACACTTGGGGTTCAGACGTTTTTGTTGTTCTTTGCAACCACAGTTCACTGTGCCTTGTAGGGGTACAGTGAAGAATGACATAATGGGATTATATGGGGTTGAAATGGAAAAGTTGAAGAAGGTTCTTGATGGTAATATTGGGAGAGTTGCAGTGACCACTGATATGTGGACTGCACCCAACCAAAAGAGGGGTTATATGGCAGTAACTTGTCATTTTATTGACAATTCTTGGAAGCTAAGAAACTTGATGTTACGTTTTGTTTATGTCCCTGCTCCTCACACTAGTGAGAGGCTGGGAAACAGGTTGTTAAAGTGTCTTATTGATTGGAATATTGATAGCAAGTTGTCATCTATTACCTTGGATAACTGTACTACCAACGATGCTATGATAACCCATCTGAAAACCAAACTTGTTATGGATGATTTGTTGTTGGATGGTATGCTGGTTCACATGAGATGTTCTGCTCATGTACTTAATCTTATTGTGCAAGATGGTTTGGATGTCATCAGGGATGGCATTGATTTGGTTAGGGAGAGTGTTGTGTACTGGAACTCTACACCTAAGAGGGTTCAGACCTTCTTTGAAACTGCTAAACAGATTAAGGTGACTTGTACAAAGAAACTTGTGCTTGATTGTCCTACAAGGTGGAATTCCACCTATGATATGCTGTCTGTTGCTATTATATACAGGGATGTGTTCTCTCGATTGAGACAGAGGGATAGTCAATACAATACTGTCCCTACTAGTATGCATTGGCAGTTTGCTGCCATTATCATTGAGAAGCTTGAAATCTTCAATGAGATTACTCAGCTATTTTCTGGTAGCAAGTATCCCACTGCCAATCTGTTTTTCCCCAAGATCTGTGATTTAAGATTGAAATTGCTGGATTGGTGTGCTGATTCCAATACTCTTGTCTCTAGTATGGCTGAAAGCATGTGGGATAAATTTGCCAAGTACTGGGATGAGGTACATGTGGTTTTGGCAGTTTCAGTGGTTCTTGATCCTAGATACAAGATGCATGTAGTTGAGTATTATGCTGGCAAGTTTGGTAGCACTAATACTGCATTGGTGGCTGATAAGATAAGGGAATGTATTTGTGGTTTGGTTCTTGACTACCAAACCAAGGCTGAGAAGAAGAATTCTGGTTCTTCATGTGCTTCTGGTGGTTCTTCTAGTTCTGTAAGTGATGATCTTGATTTCGAGCTCTTTGTGAGCCAGAGGAAAAAGAGCAAAACTACTCTGATTCATACTGAGCTCGATCACTATCTTCTTGAGGATCTTATTCCTAAACGATCTAAGGACTTTGATATATTGATGTGGTGGAAACTTAATGGCCTTAAGTACCCCACTTTGCAAGCAATTGCAAGGGATTTCCTGGCCATTCCAGTCACATCAGTGGCTTCTGAATCTGCATTCAGCTCTGGTGGGAGGTTATTAGACCCTCACCGGAGTAGGCTTCACTACAATACAGTGGAGGCAATGATGTGTACTCGTAATTGGATCATTGATTCAATGCAACAAGGTAATATGCAACAACTGAACTTTCTGGTTTATTACTTATTAGAGTGTTCATTGTTCTAACTATTCCTTTGTTTCATTTTTTGCAGAGTCAAAGGCTGATGTTGAGGCAATGGAAGGACTGTTTTCAGCTCTAGCACTTGCAGATACAACTGCTGAAGATCAAACAGAGGGTAAGTTACTTGGTTCTTCAATTCGTTTCCTTGTTAAAGTCAGTTCAATTCTCTTAACAGCTTTGTTTCCTTACTTGCAGAACAAGAGGAACTTGGCAATATGAACCGTGGTCCACTATCCCTAGATGATTGATAGTTTGACTGTTTGAGAAAAACCAGTGCAAAGGTAAAGTACTAGTGATCAGTAGCACAAACTTATGATTGATGAGTTTTATTGATAGTTTCAATTCTCTAACACTCTTGTTTTCTTTCTTACAGAACAAATGGAACTTGTGACAAAGGAGGAATGTTGTTCAAATCAGTTGAGGTCGAGGAAAGTTGGTCTCCAGCATGGATGCCTTTGTTTTTCATTTTATCATTTCTGAACGATTAGGCTGAATGCCTTTGTTTTTCATTTTATGTTCTTTTTCAGTTTGAACACTAGTACTAGCATGATGAACATGATTGATGGGTTTTGGGTGGTGGGATTAAGGTTGCAGCAGTTTGTTTGTTTGCTGCAGCCTGTTTGTTTGTTTGAATTTTAGGATCTGGGTGCTGGGTGGTGGGATATGGGTTACAGCCCCAGATCTTTCTTTATTTTGTTTTCAATTTTGGTGGCTTGACCATCAAGTTACCTTTTTAATGCAAATGTATTATTCAGTAAGTGTTTGGTTTCTGTTTAGACCATGATCCGTGGGGATCCGTTGGTTACCCGAATCCGTCGGCGGATGGGGACGGTAGCCAATCTCCCCCCGTTTAGTCGCCGGGGACGGGGATGGGGAAATCCGTAGAGATGTATGGGCGGGGATCGGGAGGCATCTACCCGCCCCCGATCCGCCCCGTTGCCATCCCTAGTTCAGCTCGGCCCTGTATTTATAGTGGAGAGTGGGGGTGGTCGGAGCTATCCATCCACCGTACACGTGGCGGAATCGTAGACCCAAAGCGTCATTGCTCACTCCACCACTCTCTTACGTGTATACTTTTTGTCCTCCTAGGTAAAATCCCTCAACTTGCAAGTAATTAATCGTTCTTCATCTGATTTATCTATGCATATTTGACTAATTAATTGCCTATCGCAATCTCCCTCCAACCTTTTCACCTTATTATTATTATTATTATCTGCGGTAGAAACAATCAACAGAAGCGCCAAGATCAAGTAATTGATTTAATGACAGAGATAACCATTGTATAATCTATATGTTTACAAGGGATGTGGTTTAATTTGAGAACATTTGTCGAGCAATACAAGGTTAACAATAAGTCGATATGTATCATCCTAATTCATGGAGCAGATCTGGTGAGTAACCTTGTGTTCAATAAAGAACACAAGGTTATGAGTGGAGCATCAATAACCCTCCAAGTACCTCTGTTTAATAACACAAAACTGGATAAAAAAGATGGTGTGACCAAATTAATTAACAAAAAGCTGTGAAAGAGTTGTACGATCGTCATAGAGAAGAACGATCACAATAAAAAAAAAATGTTCGATCCACGTATGGATGCCTTGGTAGCTGGTGTCACATATGAGAGTGGAAGCTCTCTCTCAAAACCGTGCTTCGTGGTCCCTGCAAACAAACAAATAACATGCTTTACTTAAGTCTCATCTTCATACACAATCGCTTAATCGGACAAAAAAAGGGCAATTAGTTTGAGAGCATTAAACTGAAATTGAAAACACCACAACAACCAACTGAAAAAGAATGAAAAGTGTTGCGGTTGGTATCTGGAAATTCTAGTAAAGAGATGTCTCATTGTTTCATATCTTAATAATAATCATAAGAATGAGGGCACTGGCAGTAGGGTGTTAGCATCTCTCTAGTTTGTTCATGATTATTATATA